TCCTCGAGTGGGCGGCGACTAGGGGCCTGTTCCTCATTAATACAGGCTCCGTGAGCACCTGTGTGCGTCCGCAGGGCGAGTCCATTGTGGACCTGACCTTCGGCAATCGCCCTGCGGTGCGCACAGTCAGGGGATGGAGGGTGGCGACCGAAACGGACATCAAATCCGATCATCTGCTGATCGAGATGTCCGTGGTCGCCACCTCGAAGGAGGTGCTCCGTCGTCGCCGGGAGGGGGCCGGATCGAGGCCACCGCGCTGGGCACTCCGCCGCCTAGACGAAGACGCCCTCAAGGCGTCGGTGATCGCGTCCTCATGGGCGGGGGGGTTGAACCCCCCCCCCATTGCTGGCTCGGGAGGACATAGAGGAGGAGACGGCCGGACTCGGGGAAGTCATGGAGGCAGCCTGCGACTCCTCCATGCCTCGAGCTCGGCCCACCCCCCGCCGTGCCGCCTATTGGTGGTGCGAGGAGGTGGTGGAGCTACGGAGGTCCGTCATCCTCCTCCGGCGTCGCGTACAGCGCATGCGCGCGGCACGGCGGAGGGGGCAGGCATGGGAGTTGGCGCGCAGGTCTCTCCGACCCGCGCTGAGAGACCTGCGCAAAGCCATAGCTAGGGCCAAGGCCCAGGCGTGGCAGCGGCTGCTCGAAGAGCTAGACAAGGATCCGTGGGGGCGCCCTTACAGAATTGTCCTCGGACGTTTAAGGGCTTGGGCGCCCCCAGTCACGGAGGATCTGGACCCTCTGGCGCTCGATAATGTGGTGGGGACCCTCTTTCCCACGGCGGGGCCGGAGCCCCTGCCGTATGACGGCCCCCCGCCTGGATGGGAATCGCGCCTGGGGGTCACCGAGCCAGAGCTCGCAGCCGCTGCCAAAAGGCTCGGGGGCAAGTCCAAAGCCCCCGGGCCAGACGGAGTGCCGGGCAGGGTGTGGGCCTTGGCCCTGAAGGAGTTGAGCCCCGCCTGAGGCGACTGTTCACGGACTGCCTCAGAGCGGGGGTCTTTCCCAGTCGGTGGAAAAGGGCCCGTCTGGTCCTCCTACCCAAGGAGGGCCGACCAGCGGGGGGCCCGTCTGCTTACATGCCGATCTGCCTGTTGGACGAGGTGGGCAAGCTTTTCGAGAGAGTGATTGCCGCCCGCCTCGTCCATCACCTCTCCCGGGATGGTCCCGACTTGTCTGACAGACAGTTCGGGTTCCGCGG